AAGTAGTTAATTTTTATATTATAAGTAGTTTAAAATAAATATATTTTATTTGTATTAATTTATTTTAAATAATTTTTCAATCTCTCACTTTAAAAAAACGCCGCGCAGCAATATTTTTTTACTTTACTATTGGCAACTCTTCTCTGGTAACACCATTGTCAGCTGTCAAACAAGTAGAACTGTCAAAGTCGATTTTTAAACTTTTTTACATTCTCTTCAATTGAACTAACGATAATTATATTAAATAGAATTGCAAATTATTTAAAAAAGCATACAAATGATTAATTATTAATTAAACAACTCAAGCAAGTGGTGTATTTAGTTCAAATTAATGTCAGGTGAAAAAAGTTGATAGCATATGTGGCATTAAGTGGGACGATGTAAATGGTGAATGATATTATTGTTTATTGTTTAGTGTGATATAATTTATCAAGTGTTTATTTACAAGTGAGTATATTTGTATATATTTTTTTACCAATGTATATTTCAAATCATACAATTTTTTTGTTTTATTAACCCCTAAAATGCAACATACATTTTGCAAGTGGTCCATTTTGAATTGAATATCAAATGATATAATTGTATTATCAATTTTGTAGATAAGATTAGAAAAAAGTTATATTTTTGTGTGCTTCCACTTAATTTATACAAGTGACAGCTTTCTACAGTGGTTTTGCAAAGAGAAAGGTCAGTTACCTCAGGTGGTACTCACACATACCTGTATCATGTTTAATACTAATAAAAACATTATAGTCTTAAATTATTATGAACTTCTAAACTACATAAATTACTTATATATAAAAGTACTTGAATAATTAAAACCTTAATTAGTGATGACACCCGGTGTACACATTGGGGTCAGTCGGGTCAAAAGTTAAAAAAAAAAACAATCTTAATTTATATTTGGTTTTACCTATAATTATAAAATTTTAATATTTCAGATTCAAGGCTGATTTACATTCATTCTCATACAAGTTTTTATTCAATTTCCAAAATGTTCTTCTTCGACTGTCAGCTTATTTTTGGAAATAAAAAACGCCTAAAAAATGCATGAACTGTTCACGCAAGTTTTGGGGAAGCGAGATCTGTCTAGAGCTGGTGATTTATTTTCTGTGGCAGATAATGTCATTGTAGATGACCTAACAGAAGTGGTAAATGTCAAATGCTACAAATACTTGTTTTTTGAATAATTTAGTGAGATGTAAAGATATATACATACAAATAGTATATATTTGCATACTATATTGATATAATCTTATATATATATATATATATATATATATATATATATATATATTTATATATATATATTATATATATATATATAATAAAGATTTTAAATCTAGAATCTAACTTTAATTTAAATCTAAAATAACATCTTATAAAAAGGCAAAATGTAATGCATAATTACATTTTTTATGCTTTAGTAGTAATACTCTAAGTAGTTTAATCTTTAGCTAAGTTAAAGCTTATAAATTATTTTAACACAGATTAATTTAATAACATTTAATTTTGGGCAAACTTTGCTATTTTTAGAATATTACATAATTTTCAGACAATTTACGATATTTACAGACAACATAACATTTTCAGACAATTTACAACATTGTTAGATTATTTACAATATTTTTGGACAATTTACAACATTTTCAAACAAATTACAACATTATAAGACAATTTACAACATTTTCAGACAATTATACATTAATTTCATCATTTTCAGACAATTACACCTTTGTCAGACAGTTTACAACACTTTCAGACAATTTCCAACATTTTTAGTTTAAATTCCAACATTTTCAGGCAATCTATATCATTGTCAGACAATTTACAACATTTTCAAACAATTTACAATATTTTTAGACTATTTTGAACATTTTCAGACAACTAGAACATTTTCAGCCTATATATTGCAACTGAAAGTCACATCAAGTTAAATAAACTGTACTATATTTTACATTTTGTTACATTTAGATACTATAATTTTTTTTATTTACAAATTCATTCTCTCACTTCTCATCTTTCCCCAGTTGAATGAGATTACCCAAATAGCCTCTCAACCAGACTATGGAAGGAACTCGAATGACCATCTGTGGTGGAAATCTGTGTTACTCGAGTCACAAGTTGTATCAGAGAGACTGATAGTGCTGAAAGGCATTGCCAGGCTTTGGTAGCTCTTTTAGAATCATGTTTACATCACAGTCTACGTCTACGACCTGGTGCAAAGGACCAGGACCCCCCACATGCCAAGATTGCAGCTGATGTTATAGCCAGTGTATTTTTGGTAAGAGTAATAGATATATATTCTGTTATGATTTGATTTTTATTATAGTTTATATTCTTAGAATTATAGCAAGAGGGCTGTGATGGAAGTAGCTTTGCCTGTAACCGTGAAATTTTTGCATAAAGGAAACAAAGAGTTGTCCAGAAATTTAGCCAGATTTTATCATTGGCTGCTATTGAACATGCTTCTTTGCTTTCACCACATGTCCAGCCTGTTTTGGATTCAATAATATCAGGTAAAAACTTATTGGCCTTTAATTCTCTGATATAATTATATTGTTATTAATAAAATATTTTTAGGAAACTATCCCTTATGCAGAGTGCTAGCTCAGATTTATCAAGTGTCACCTGAGCCTTTGGGTAATCACACAATGGCATTAGTTGCTTTACTACCGCACTGTGACGTCCAAGAACAATTGCATTTGCTTCATTTGTTTTCCCTGATTGCCAAAAATAAACCTATGGTAAGATAATATAAATATAACTGATCAAATTTCTTAAATATTTTAGATTCATTTTTAACAAATATTGTTTTGTATACAATTTCAATTCTGTTTACTAGCTTCTGGAGGCAAGTGTGCCCCAACTCTGTGAGTACCTATCTCCTCCGGCAACCTCAGCAGCCACAATGCAAGTCTTAGCTGGTTTGGCAGAGCGTAGACCATCCCTGCTCGCTGATCATGTTGCAGGAGTCAGGGCTGCTGCAGCAAAGAACCCCGGAGCAGTATGTTTGGCAGCCAGGATAATTGCTGCTGTTGGAAAACTAAGCAAGGTAAATAATTGTTTTCACTGATTGTATATGATTGATTATTTACTATTATATTATATTATTTTCAGGATAAAGCTCAAGAGGCTTTAAATTTTGTGTTGGAGCATTTGCCAAAAGCTGACAGAGGTTCACACAACAACATTGCTGCGAGAGGCTACCTTGTTATGTTCAAGTTATCCAGTTTTGTTTACGGATAAAATGTTGTCAAGTGTTCGGCAGAGAAATATGAATAATAAAATAATATTAACAATAATAATGTTACAAGTATTAACGGTGTTAACAATAATAGAAGGTAAACAATTATTCTATATGTTTTTTAAGTATTATAATTAATTTTTATTTATCCATCAGCACTAATCAGGTGAATCACACTTCTGGAGGTGTAACTATTGTTAAACTAACTGGCCAAACTGGTCAAACTAATCAGGTTGCTGTCAATCCTGGATATACAAGGCGAGCTAAGTTGGGGGATTCTAGAAGTACTGGCCGATTACATTCAGGTATAATAAATAAATAATGAGTGATGTTTAGATTAAATTTGACAAGTGATAATTGTAGCATCATGATTTGGATTGTATTATTTATTTAAGTTTTGTTTTAGGTAACAATACACATAGGAGTGCTACTCGTCTAAATAACATGTCTTCAGGAGCTGGTGGCTCTGTTGGAGGACTACACAGCTCAGTATCGTCTCAGCAGATCAACATGAACACTGCCAATTCAGGAGTAGGACAGCAGCACCATGGTGGCAGTCATGGGGCTCTCTTAACACACAGTAAGTTCACAATTATACTTTTATAATTACTTTTTTTTATTACTTTTTAAACTATACTTCACATCAAAAACTGTTTATGCTTTCAGCTACAATGAATCCAATTCATGTCCACCAGAATGCTGTCCAACATAACTTTTCAAACCCTGTTGCTGTAGGAAACACAAACAATAATCACATTTTTAATAACACAAGTGTTGCCACTTATTCTATAAATAATAATAGTAATAATAATAATGGATTCAGTTCGGGTAATGCCACAAATGTTGCAACATGTAATGTGAATGGTAATTCTGGTGAAGGCAATAATAATTTTAATGGTAAGTTGGATATGGTAAATATTTTAAATTGTTATCTTGGTTTTGAATCTGGTGTTTCTATTAAGGTGCAAGTGGTGCACAAATGTTGGCACCTGGCAATGTGACAGCTTGGACATCGAGTGCAGGAAGCTTACAAGTGACACCAGTGCCTCCGCTCAGTAATAGTGTTGTTGTTACAGGGCACAATAAATGGGGGATACCAACACATCTCAACAGACGACCAATAAGGTAAACTTACAGATATAACTTTTTTTTAAAACTAGTTGTAAAGAAACTTGCATGAACATAACGAGAATAAGACTTTTCATTGACACATAAGGGAAAAACAAAATGCCAGTTACACATAGTTAAATTTATATAAATATAATATTATATAAATAATGCAATAAAACATTTTATTCTGTACATGCTCTCAGTAAAGTTGGATCAAATTAATTCACTATGTAAGTCTTTAATTAAACATTATATTTTATAGCAAACAAAATAAATAATAAAAATAGTAAGATATATATATATATATATATATATATATATATCTTTTTATTCATATATATTATCTTTTTATTTATTTAGGTGCAATCAGGAGGAGTCACTGTAACAACGAGCACTTTACCCCCCCGAGTTCCACCAAGATCTGCCAATAACAATGCAAATACATCAGTTGTTGGAGTTAATTACGGTAATTATATACTTCCATATATAATTAGTACAATAGAAATGATTAATGATGAATTGCTTTTCTTTTAGGTTCGAATCCCTTGAGCATAACAGTTCCCAGCAATGTGATATCTCGTCGGAACAACAACACATCAATAACACTTCTCAATACAAACAATGCAGCTAACCAGGTAAGTAATAATTATGATATTAATAGGGTAATTGGTTTGAACTGACACAACATATTTTTTTTTCAGAGGATGAGTGTTTTTGAACCATTTCCTATGCGTGATACTGTTCAGCATTTTTGTGAGAAGCACCTCGATAAAATCAAGGCTTATATGGATAACATGTCTTCCAGGATACCTCCACCTGCTAAATGTACAATAGAAGGTCAGATAAAAGATTTTAGATGTTTATTTTATTGTTTTCCTAATATTTCTGATATTATTTATATTATATATTTATATGTTTATGTTTACATTTATATTTATATTTATATTTTTAGAGAGAAGAGCTAAGAAATTAGCAAAATTACACTTTACTTGTCAGACCAGAGGAGAACACTGTTTGTATTCGAGAACATTTTTCACATGCGGACAAGAAATCCAAAGATTTGGATACATTTGATGTTTATTGCTTTACAGGTATAAAGTATACAAATTACTGTGTAAAAAAATTAGGGAGTGCAAAAGATTTAAAACTAAGTAATGTGGGAATAGAAATAGATTTTTAGTGGACTCGAATTATTTTTTTTAAGTCTTTCATTCTTTATCATTCATTGATCATCATTATCTACATCATTTTCAGACTACCTGTAACATTTTTAGACAATGTACAATATTTTTAAACAATATATGACAATTATTAGACAATATACTACGTTTTCAGACAATTAAGAATTTTTTAGACAATCCACAACACTTTCAAGATAATTTACAGAATTTTTGGACAATGTACACTATTTTTATAATGTACAACATTTTTGAACAACTTATAACAATAAGTTGCCAAAAATTATAACTTATAATGATAATTTATAACATTTTTAGATAATTTATAACTTTTTAGACAAAGTATAACATTGTTAGGGAATTTACAACATTTTTAGACATTTTACAACATTTTTTATACAAAGCACAATATTTTTGAGCAATTTACAACATTTTTAGATAATGCACAACATTTTTAGAAAATCCACAATATTTTTAGACAATTTACAACATTTTTAGGCGGTTCACAACATTTTTAGACAGTTCACAGCATTTTTAGACAAACTACAAGATTTTTAGGCAATTTACAGCATTTTTAGAGAGTGTATAACTTTTTTAGGCAAAGTACAACATTTTAAGGCAATTTACAACATTTTTAGACAATGCAAGACATTTTGAAATATTTTTAAATAACTTACAACATTCTTAAATGATCCACAATCTATTCAGACTATCCATGCATTCTTGTTGAAAGTCGTATTAGAAATTTCGCTTCAGCAAAATTATCAAAGATGCCGAAAATTATAACTTATAATGATAATTTATAACAGTTTTAGACAAAGTATAACATTTTTAGGGAATTTACAACATTGTTAGATATTTTACAACATTTTTAGACAAAGTACAATATTTTTAAGCAATTTACAATATTTTTAGACAATGCACAACATTTGTAGAAAATCCACAATGTTTTTAGACAATTTTCAACATTTTTAGGCAGTTCACAACATTTTTATAAATATGACATATAGTATAACATTTTTAAGAAATTTACAACATTTTTAGACATTTTACAACATTTTTAGACAATTTACAATATTTTTAGGCAGTTTACAACATTTATATATATATAACATATAGTATAACATTTTTAGGGAATATTTACAACATTTTTAAACATTTTACAAGATTTTTAGACAAAGTGCAATATTTTTAAGCAATTTACAATATTTTTAGACAATGCACAACATTTGTAGAAAATCCTCAATATTTTTAGACAATTTACAATATTTTTAGGCAGTTTACAACATTTTTATATGTATAACATATAGTATAACATTTTAGGGAATATTTACAACATTTTTAGATATTTTACAACGTTTTTAGACAAAGTACAATATTTTTAAGCAATTTACAACATTTTTAGACAATGCACAACATTTGTAGAAAATCCACAATTTTCACAACATTTTTTGTCAATCTACAGCATTTTTAGACAAAGTACAACATTTTAAGGCAAATTACAACATTTTTAGACATTTTGAAAACATTTTTAAATAACTTGCATTCTTGAACAACTCACAACCTCTTCAGACTATCCACAGAGCACATTCTTGTTGGAAGGCATATTAGAAGTTTCACTTCAGCAAAATCATCAAAGTTATTCAAACAATATTTTACTGTCTCTGTATATCTTACAGGCCAGATCAGAGAATGCTTTGAGCAGTCGAGATGCTTCGGTAAGCAGTCTTAAACATTGTTGGGACACATTGAAGTGCGAGAATAAGACTTTTGTCACTTTGGTCACTAGTGCCTTTCCTTGTGCTAAGGTAAGAAAAAGAACTGATATATATTTACTATTTTGTCTAATTACTATATATATATATATATATATATATATATTTATATATATATACATATATTATTATTATTTTTCTGATGGCTAGAACTAGCCAGACTTGCTAATATGCTGTATGATTCTTCCTGAATTAAACAACCAATCGAACCATGGCGCAGTTTGTTAGAATTCTTGTTTTGATTTGTTGTTTGTTGTTATTGTTTATTAATGCTTAATAATTCAATTGATCTTTGAAGACATTAACAATGCTTTGTTTATAAAATCAACAAACGAATAATAGAATTAAAGGATATGGTTTGTGAGAACATTAAATATTATGATTGAGTTTTTATCGAAGACATATTAGACAATTGTAGATGTTTAGTTATTAATTATTTTTAGTGAAGCCTAAAATAAACAATTGAAAGTTTTATCTAAATATCTTTACACTTATCTTAAGCAGTGATACACCTAGCTGGTATCACATTTTAAAACATTTTGAACAGATAGAATTTTTTTTCTCAGGATCAAGAAATCCTTCTAAATGAACTCCGCCAATCTGGTTTCTTCGACGTCTTCGAGCTCTCCAAACCAAAAAACAACACATTAACTCGAGAAGACTTTGATGGAGCCAAAAGCAAAACTTCCACACCTACTAACACCTCCAATAAAAATCAAAAATCATCCAAAGATGATCCAGAATCGCCATCAAAGAGTCAGGAGGAACTGGTCAAACCAGACGACGACGTTCAATTACTACAGTGGGGCTGTTTTCTTTGCAATCACCCTGAAAAGGCGGTTGGATTTTTGAGAGGGAACACCCAGCCAGTAATTGAAGGGAAATTGAAGGAGAAGAAAGGAAAATGGAGGCTTTTCAGGCGCTGGAGGACGAGATACTTTACACTATCTGGTGCTCATCTGTCTTGCAAAGGATCGGTAAGGATAAGGATAAAAGTTTGATTTAATTTAATGCATTGTTTTGTAAATGATAATTTAGTAATATATAATAGTATTTAGTAAATTATTATTTATTAATATATGATATATTATTGAAGTGAAACTTTTTAAGAGACTTTTGCAACAAGGTTGCATTCAAAATTTATAGCTCCAGAATAAAAAAAAGGCAAAGCAAGAGTTTTGAAAATTTTGTAACTTATCTGAAAATGTTGTAAATTGTTTGTAAATGTTATAATCTTAAAATGTTGTAGATTATCCAAAAATGTTCTAGTTGTCTAAAACTTTTGCACATTTCTATTTTTAATAAATATTAATATTTTTATTAATCTTCTTTACCCAGAGCGGTGGAGAGAGTATCGACATCAACCAAATCCGATCAGTAAAAGTATCCCGGGGAGGCGCCAGAAACATCCCAAAGGCCTTTGAAATTTTCACTGGAGACCAGACACTGATTCTGAAACCGAAAGATGGCAAAAATGCAGAAGAGTGGGTTCAATGTCTGAGCATAGCTCTGGCTCATTCTCATGCTTTGGATGGGGGCACTGTTTTGGGGCAGAATCACCAGCTGCAGGTGAAGACAAACAGTCTGCCAGCTAGAGTTGTTGGAACAAATGCAGGAGGTGGGAGCAGTAGTTTAGGAAGGTCGATTGTATAATTAAATAGGCAGGTTAGATATAGGTTATTTATTTATTCATTTGCATATTTTGAGACAATTATAATACAGCAATACCCAGAATAAAGTGAGATGAGTTATTGTTGATGAGTGCATAGAAGTATCTATTACAACCCATATTGGAAAATTTGCATAATTTTCAATGGATTGGTCCATATTTTGTTTCCTATTGGTCTAAGTTTTATTTACAAACACCAATGAAAATTCTTTATGAGCTCTTCTTTGAAATTTTAGTAATCTTTAGTTTTCTTCAGATCATCATTGAAAAGACTAGCTTGTTTTACTAATTCCACAATTTTTGTACAATTCCAACCACATTTTGGTGAATCCCTGTCTTAAATACAAGAGAACTAAACGAAGCAGAGTCAATTATGGTATTACTGTATATTCTGAAAAAGAATAAGTTGTCAGTCATTTTATTGTACTGACTGGGATTTGATTACATCTCTGTAAATCCACACTGATGCTATTTCATTCTTGTTAGATGACTTAGGTAGAAGTTTTTTTAAGTAGAATGAAAGTTCCAACAATAAAATTACGACAGTCTACCTATTTCAAATTTTATCATGTATTGTTACTATAAAAATCATATTTATCATAATTATATTTAGTTTGTACTTAATATATTTTGTAAGTTTATACATCACGAATATAAGTATAGTATTTATAATCTATTACTACTATAATATGCTACTTTTAACATTTTTGTATATATGTTTGGCCAATTTTGAAACAACAAAATAATATATATTTTATTTGGGTACTCAATGTGTATATATTTCAAATCTTCATTAATTTTTAGTTGGATATATCCATATATTATAGTAATAATAATATAAAAGGCTTTCATTGTCTTCAAATAATTTAAAAAGACTTCATCCAAAGAATCCTGATAAATTTGAAATCTGTGATAACACATTTAAATGTCTTACTGGTTTAAAAATGCACATGCCAGTTCCTTACAAATGAGAACTATGCAATCATAAATTCAATATTTAGTTATTATAAGGGGTACTTGGGTGCTCATGTGATGAAAATCAGTGAAATATTAATAAACAGAAACTAACTCTGTACGAATGACGTACCATTAAAGTGATTTGATTATATTTTACCTAAACATCTTTGAGTGACTTATATATTCTATTTTGATAACGTGAATTTCTTTCAAAGCTTGAATATAATTCAGCATTTAATGTATTTTTTTATATTTACAATTATCCTCACAAGTTGAATCTGCTTACATATTACAAATATTTAACTTGGAGCCATTTCTATCAACCTACCTTATTTTTGTGATGTATTCTAAATAATTAGTAACAGCGTTTAATGAGTTCTCGCTTATCAATTAGTTATTGTTATTACTTTCATAATATAGATTCGTTAACAGTGATATATTTAAAAACTTTATTTTTATTTTTTCAAAAATCGCGCCATTGGGAATTCATATTTGCACAAGAGCGGCCATTATGTCGGCCATCTTGAATATTTGACAGTTGTGTGCTGTCAGTTTATAAAAGGCAGATTTTTGTTGGAGCACACGCGTTTATATTTATTGAAGTTAATTATTTTTATTCTACTGGTTTCTTGATATTAATCACAGTAATAACATAATATTATTATTACAAAGACTTCAACATATCCTATTTATCAATTCAATTCAAATTCAAAATATGTAAGTATACATTATACTTATAGGTTATGTATGTAATGTATTTAAATTCTTGCAAAGGTTCAAGTGCTTCGACAAAAATGTCTGTCTGATAATTGTATAATGTGTTCAATGAACACAATACGTTGTGCAAGTGCAAAGACTATTATGACAATTGTGTAAAGTGTTCTAATAAATTGTAAGTACAGTTGTCACCAAGTGCCAGCAGATTTGAAGGTCTTTCGAGCACAGTTTTTCCATCAATGTAAGTCCTAAAACATTTTCTATTTGAAACGAGTTGCAGAATATTTTACTGAAATCATATACAACATGTTTAGTATATAACAAACACTATATGGATGCTGTTTCTAATAATGACTATTAAAGTCTACATACATATACAACATGTTTAATATATAACAAACACTATATGGATGCTGTTTCCAAAAATGACTATTAAAGTCTGTATGTGTTTTTGTGAAATATTTAATGACTAGTTTACGTTTTGCCCACATCTGCTGAAACAGAGGATTATTTTTTGATCGATGGTAATAATTTATATGTTTTGTTTTTAAATTTACTGAAACAAGTACATATAATTAAACCAGAGATTTTGAGTTAAATTAAATTCAACAGCTTTTTCTTTTAATTCTATAAAATCACATCTGTATCTGCAGCCAAACGTATTTCTTATCGTTCTGCATTTATTTATTGTTTAAAAAACAGTTATAATTTGATCAAAACATTTTCGAATCTCCAATTGTTTTTATTTAGAAAACTTGCTTGATATAATATATATTGTTTATTAACACCAAAAAAGTTCATGTTTTCACCAAAAAATATGGTATTCCAATTCATAATATATCTTTGTGCTTTTTGAATATTCTATTTATAAAATAAACATATTTTACTACAATTAATATATAATACAATTCATATTTCTTATTAATACATACATAATTTTTTTTGCAATAATTGGCACTTCATTTATCTTACATAAGCTTATAACGCTATTAATAATTTCTATGAATTAACTAATTAACATTTCTTATTTAATGACTAATTAATAATACTAATGTTTATAATTACTAAATTGGAATTCGACTAGCATTAATAAATAACTAGTAATTTATTTGACATCATTTAATTATTAAAAGCACAAGCAAGGCAGCTTTGTTTTATAATGATTTAACTAATAATAATAATCAGGATGATTCATAAATAACAACTAAAACTACAGATATTATTAAATTAATTGTTTAATAATAATTGTGAGCCTTAAAATTATTCAGTTAGAAGTTTTATCGAGTAAATAATAATAAACATGCATGTTGGTGATTGAATAATCATCAATTCCATTTTCCTTATTTATATGATGTTAGATAATACTGTAGGTTAATTAATTTTATACAAATTTGTCTTATACAACACTCAATAATTGAATGGTTTAAAAGTTACAAGAGTTTCATTAAGTAAATGCATAGAGCGAATTAATTTTAACTCTAACTAATTATCTATTATCTATTATCAAGGCGATATGATGATAAATGATGGTATATATAGATTATTTAATTGCCTCATACAGCGTTTATAATAATCAAAATGGTTCGAGACATTATAAAAAATAATGTACTTTTAGAGCACTCTGATTAAATTTTCTGTACTTAAGTACAATGTTAAAGCATACTTATTTGCTGTAGAGTGTCATAATACCAAAATTAATTACTTTTATTCAAGTTTGATAAATATTTTATATATGAAGTTGAAAAAATGCATATATATATATATATAATTTCAGTCATTTTCTGATCCTGAATTCTCATAATTATCACCATCAACAACAAGTTCCCAGAGATCAGCCCAATCTTGTTCTGTAATCGACCAAGGTCCAATTAGGAAGTTTCTCTTCACCTTTTTCCTTAATTTTAGGAATCCTTTCTCCAAATAATATTTGTTTCTTCTATGAATTCGTAACAGGCTCTAAAAATAAATTGGAAAAAATAAATAGATAGTGCAGGAATTAATTGTTTAATAAAGATTTAACTCACTTTTGTGTCGTCTGAGCTCAATTTGTGGTTTTTGGCACTTATTCTTTGAGTTTTGGCAGCTTCTGCAAGAGTGCCAGTGAAATAAACATCGTCGATCCATAGAAAAGCTGAAATGTTAAAAAATTAATACAATGTGATATTGTAATGCCTTTCAGCAACTCAAAATACTCTAAAATTGAGTCTAAGAATAGAAATTGTATCTGAGTGCTCCAAAAGTGCATTTTTTGCTTTCATTGTTTATAAACTTTAAAGAATTCGATTATTATAAGTAATACATTTGGAAAATTTGTTTAGTGAATAATATTTTTTAATATTATAATACTCTACAACTTGGAATACTTAGCTAAATTGGCATAATTGATTTGGGTGCTTTAAAAAAACCTTTACTATCATTACCTAAGCCCTTTTGTGACCTTTTCTGGGCCTCCTGAAAAATTTTCCTGGCACTTTCCTGCGTGTACAGAACAAATCCTCCTGCACAGTAAGTAGGGTAATATTTGTCAGGATAGACTTTTGGTGAGACACGCCATTTACTGCGAAAACTTCTGCAAAAAGTAAAAATAATATTAAATAGTTAACTAGTTAACACGATAAACTAATTATTTTATTAAATATAATTATACGAGGAGCAGAAATTAAAATAGCAGAAATTAATTTTTTTAGTGACAGACAGACAAATTATTGAATTCTGTTCTATAAACATTTTTTGCAACAACAATGGTATTTCCAGTTACATTCACAACATTTTAAGGAATTCTTCAGTACTCTCAGACAATCTTAAAGACTCTTTCAGACAATGTAAAATACTTTCGATAACTTTCTACACTCTCGGACAATATGCAACTCTTTCAGACCTACAACACTCTCAGAGAAACAATCTACAGCATTTTAAGACTTTCTATTATTCCAGAATTAAATTTAGTTACATTAGAAACTTCACCTCAATAATTAATTAATTATATATAATCTATTTACCTTCTGACCCAGGCGTGCACATTTGTAACACAGTAAACAAAATTATCATCACCATCATTACATCTAAAAATTTCATTGAATATTTCAACTTCATATTTGGATAATTTTATTTCTTTGAAAACATGTTCAGTATTGGTAGCAGTTCCCAGATCACTACTCGTTCCTGTTTTTCTGTTCCAGAAATTTAAATCCGAGGCACTTCGCTTGTGAACAGAAGTTTTAGGACTGTTTTGTTGACTAGATGTGATTGAATTATTATTTAAATCATTTTTGGTATGTTCATAATTTTCAGAATCACTTGTATTATTATTTAAATAATTTTTGGCCTGGTCATGAATTTCAGAACTATTTGTACTTTTGTGATTAATAATACTATTTGTGACTAAGTTACTTCTCGAAAGTTTACCAAAAAGTTCAGACTTTAGTAAATCTTTCAATATATCATCACTATACTTTTGTGAACGTTTTGTAATGTTTTTAATAATGTATCTATTATTATTAAGTACTCCATCTACATTACTCGTAGGATGTTTTTCTTGGTATTCCAAAGTGTTCTTAAAGTGTTTCTCGAAGTATTCTAACACATTTAAAAGCAAAGGCACATTTATAACGATGTCATCATCACATTTGAGAATAAATGGTACTTCTGGACAACGTTCAGAAGCATATTTCAATGCCATTGCATGTTTATAAGACAAATTGTGATAGGAATCCAAGAAATTTCCTTGCAACAAGTCTCCGTGTTGTGAATTTTCAAGCTCCAAAGCAGTTTGGATATCTAAAAAAGGAATAAATGTAATAAATTAGGGCATATGGAATATATGTTGTGATTAAATCACTTTTCATAGGCCTGTAATATTTTAGAATCACTTATCACTTTTTCACTAAAAAAGATTTTATCAAAAAATAAATTTATGAGTTACTTTTCAGCCGAATAGGTAAATTTTGTAAATCAAAATTACTATAAGTTTTGTCTTTTTTAAGTTTGTTATTTGAAAACAAACAATATTATTCTCTCGATGTTATGAGATCGGCTGCTTGTAATGAACTGATTCTAAGTCACACTGTGTGTGAGTGTGTTTTTATATGTGAGGATGTAAATACTTAAATTATTGATCTTAAAAGGAAGACGATATTAATTGTTTGTCAAAGAGTGTGAAAAATTCACAAATCCAAACTCTATCACAAGTGGCAAGGCCCTCTTCTAATTCTATCAAATGGTTTTTAACTTTTGAAATCAGGTGGTATCAGTTTTTCAGAAAACGTCGATAACCTAATCCAATTTCGGTATCAAACGATTCAGAAACATAAACTTATTAAATCTGTTCTCATCATCAATAAATTTATTTACCTTCATTTATAACTTGCCCAACTAGAAAAACCAAAGTAGCTCTTTCTCGATCCCTTTCCCTGCTCCAGGCTTCCCGGATCTTTCGCCTCCGGGCTGAATGATCAGGTTTGGAGTGCACCAGGGCAATCAGCAGTAGACCCGAACCACTGTCTGCATGTCTGGATATCGTGACACAGGAATTTGGATCCGAATCATCGATCGTGTATTGAAAATTAGACACATTCAAAAGTTGGTTTGAAGGTAATGGCTGGTTGGCTGGGCTGGTCATACCAGGTTGAAGATTGTCCTGTGGAGGAAATTATATGTTAGAATATTTTGAATGAGAGTTGATAATCTTGTCAAAATTACATTGTTTTCATCCATCAAATAAAAGTTTTTTCCAATATATATTAGGGTGGTCCTTAATATGGATATTTTCGAATTTTTTTTGGTTAGAGTGCGGAATATCTTAAAGTTAATATTAAGATATAAAACTTTCAGAGAATTTTTATTTATCAATTTAGAAACATTTGAGCTCTTGGGAGTATACATATCTATTATATAAAAATAAGTCAGGTTTTCCTTCCTGACGATATAACTTCAGAACGCACGAACCGATTTCGACGATTTTGCATTCGTTGGAAAGGTCTCGGGCTCCGTGAGGTTTATAGCAAAGAAAATTGAAAAAAGATTTCAACAGAAAAGAGGAAAACACTTTTTCTTTTTTTACATACAGCGTCATATTTGATACTTAGCATGTACTGCAAACTAATATTTTTTGTTTGAGTGCCACTCATTTGTTTCGCAGCTACTCATTGTTCTCTGCTCAGTTAATTTCATGTGACAAACCGGCATTGTGTTCACTGTGAAATTGGAAACCATCAAATCAATCACGTGTATTGTGCAAATTTTTATTCAATTTCAACAGCAGGCAATTTTTTTCTTCATCTTTTAATCACCAAACGAAATGTTACATAAAATGAAACCATCTGGTGGTGAAACGGAGTTCGCCCGGTTTGCTAGTATATATATATATATATATATATATATATATATATATATATATATATAATGTCTGTTTTATTGTGTAATTCCGTTTATTGTGGCAATATAAAATCCTATTTACTTATGCGAATCGAATTAACCTTATGTTTTCAATTTAACTCTTGCAAAGGTCGTTCTCCAAATAAAATATTTATTAATTCTACTGCCTATCATTGCATTCCCTTTCGTGATCCATTTATAATATATATAGTCCTACCTAATTTGAATACACACAAAACCAGAATAAAGGAAAATAAACAGTAGTTTGTATACACTAGGACCCTCAACCTAGATAGACCTGCCTTTGGGTGGAGAAGTGATTTTTTGTGTGATTTTTTTAAAACTGATAAATAAACACTCAAAATTTTTAACCTCTCGAATGAGTAGTTTTTACCAGATAATCCTATTGGCTAATTTTATACTTCAAGTCATTCTGAATCGTTTGAGACTGAAAAAGAATATGTGCCTCACAAATTAATTAATTGGGTAATTAATGCAACCTGCCTTAAATCAAAATTCCACTTTCACCTATTGAAATCTCTTATAAAAATAGTAAATAGGTACGTCGTGGTTTGAAATTAGGCCAGAATTGATTTGGTACAATTTGCCTTAAAAATCTTCACAAATTCTGTGACTTTCCCAATATTTTATGACAAAAGAATCATTTTATGAGTATACCAGGTTGTTGTAGAGTCTTTGTTGTTAGGAGGCGTTTATTGAAGTTTTTTTTTAATTCAGGTAAAAAATAAATACACGTGATATCTTACTAGACCAACCCGCCTCATTCCAGATGATTTTTTGTGATTTTTGGTCAATATGCCAATATTTTTGGACCAACTGACTTCCAACCTTTTAAGCTTCACGTGATTAATGGTAGCCCCTTTAAACAATGATGTAAATTATTAAATTTTATATGAATTACCTAAATACACTAATTAATTTCTACAAAAAAATATTCAAAATGATAAGTATGCAAGGACTTTTGCCTGATCGTGAGTTTACCTGAGATTTTACACTTCTATTATTTAAAAATATTTTTTTCCTAGTATGATGATCAGGTTTCCTTATCTATGAACACATGTTTATCATTATAAATTATGATAAACTTAGGTAGCATTACAACTAGGACCATTTGCCTGATGATGAGTTTACCTTACTTGGTTCAAAATTTGCTTAAAAAAAGAGACTTATACCATGCACAAGTGCTCCCAAAAATCAATCAGTTACCAAAAAGCAATCAAATACCATTAAATTCATCCTTACCATTTCCTGGCCCTCTGCTTCCCAAGAATGTATCTTTTTCTCTTGACCCCATAATAATATTGGGGACTTGTCGCTTGACTGTCTCCAGGACCATCTCTTAGTGTTGCCTGATACAGTAAACCGCACAATGATAACAAAATCAGGCAACCCAGGCAAAAGAAGCCTTTCAGGACAGTCCTCGTCGTGGTCCTCGTCGTGGTTGAGGATCTGATTTTATCATACTGGAAAAGAAAATTTTGTTAGCAAAAAAAATTGTGTATGTTAAGATAAATTTAGAGTTATTGAAGTCAGGCAAATGGTTGTAACGGTGCCTAAATAAATAAATTCAAATCAAATACAGATAAATTCAGGTAAAATCATTATTATTCAGATCATATAAGTGGGTTTACCTGAATTTATCCTGTTGATCAGAGTTTATAGCGCTAGAGAAAAAAGTATTTTTTAAATAATAAATGTATAAAATTAAACTCAGGCAAGATTAGTTGACAGGTAAATCTGTGTTAATTTTTTAAATAATAAAGTGTAAAGACTTCAGAAAACTCAGGCAAATGGTCTATTATAATGGTAAACCTGAGTTCATCATATTTAGTAAGAAAATATTTTTAAATAATAGAAGGTAAACTCAGGCAAATAGTCCTTGTTGAAATTAAATAGTGTATTTGGGTAATCTATACAAAATTAAATAGTCTACAACATTGTATAACAACAAAATAGATAAATACAGGTAAAATCATCATTATTCAAATCATATAGTGGGTTTACCTGGTCGTTTATGGTGATCGACCTGAAGTTATCGCATTAGAGAAAAAGTATTTTTTAAATAATAAAAGTATAAAAAGTATAATAAACTCAGACAAGATTACTTGTCAGGTAAACCTATGCTTATCATGATAGATAAAGCAGATTTTTCAAATAATAGAGTGTAAAATTTTTAGAAAACCCAGGCAATAAGTCTATTAAACTCAGGCAATTGTTAAACCTGAGTTCATCATATTAGGAAGAAAATATTTTTTATATAGTAGAAGGTAAAGTCAGGCAAATGGTCCTTGTTAAAATTAAATAGTATGTGGGTAATCTTGGTAATTTCTGAAGATTTTTCATTTATATATATGTGTGTGTGTATATGTATGTATATATGTGTGTGTATACATGATAATTGCCTCATTAAAAATTAATTACAAGTTAAACTATCATTATGTATTCATTTTCGTACACGACAAGAATTTATAGAATTTATATAAACTATGTGAACTAAACCATATTGCGATATCGACTTATTAAAATTTATATATATATATATATATATATATATATATATATAAGATGTACTTGATTCATTTTACTTGATTTTTTTTTTTGAACAAATAAATTCCTGAACAATAAACAAATCTTATTGTTAATAATTATATCAATTAACTTACCAATATACATAAATATACATATCATATATTTCATCGCAAAAATAAAGACGTTGCTGTTTTTTCTTAAATTAAAAAATAAACAAAGATTTTAAAATGGATCAACTGTTTACTTTGGACTAATTGTTTACACTGGCAAGCTTTAAAAATCATTTATACATTTAATTCGCCGAAATATTTATGGATCATTTATAACACTTATTGTTATTAGAATTAAAATAGAGATGAGATTATTATTAAAATATCGAAAACTTTTACTAATTAATGAATACAAATAAAAGTAACTGCCTGGTAAAAATCTTGGAATCCATTTTGAAAATCCATCCACTTTGGAACAAATTGAAAGTTAATAAAAATAGAATCAAATTATTAGAATTAACTAAATGTTAATTAAATAAATATTATCATAAATTAATTTAGTAACTTTATTGAAATGAAAACGAACAACGCTAATGATGGAAATTAATACAAATAAGGATTTCAAAACTCAGTACACCCAATACCAGGAAATATTTAACTATTAAGAAAATTTGTCAAATTTATTAGAGTTTATGTAAAAAACAAGGATTGCTTTGCCTTATTTATTTGCCAGTAATAGAAAATAATATAAATAGAAGTTTCAAAATAAAATAATAATCATGTGAACAATACTTACATTTTAGAGTGTCATACATACTAGTATAAGTATAAGGTCTAAGGTGTCATAGAATTGACAATATTTTTAATGTTTATCTAATTTACTTGAATTTCCTACAATTACTTGAGATAACGATATTTTTCAAAATTTTTTTGTATTTTATAAGATTTTATATGTAATATGAATAATTTGTTATATGTTTCAATAGTTTTTACTTTTTTAACAATTTTTCTAATGTTGGTAAAGTGTTTCTGTCATTTCCAAGAATTCTAAATTATTAAATAATTATTTTTAAACAAATTTCTATTTGAAATAATACTATTTTCCTTCACTGTCAGTAAAATATCTTTTTCGTTTTTAAGTATTTCATTTTGTATTAAATTCCAATTCCAATAATTTATGACAAGTTTTATGAATTTTCAAATTTTAGCCAATGTTGGCAGAACTGAGATTTGACTTTTAGAAATCTTCAAGAATTATTGTTTAAATGATTATTTTATTTTGAAACTTCTATTTATATTATTTTCTGTCACTCGCATTATAATCTTTATTGTTTTTTACATAAATTGTAATAATTTTGACAAATTTTATAAATTTTCAAATTTTAGCCAATGTTGGCAGGACTGAGATTTGGCTATTAGAAAATTTCAAGAATTATTGTTTAAATGATTATTATTTTATTTTGAAACTTCTATTTATATTATTTTCTGTCACTGGCATTATAATCTTTATTGTGTTTTACATAAATTGTAATAATTTTGATAAATTTTATGAATTTTCAAATTTCAGCCTATATTGGCAGTACTGAGATTTGACTTTTTGAAATTTCAACACCTTAGACCTTATACTTATACTAGTATAAAGTCTATTATTGAAACAATAAGTATTGTTAGTAGCAAACAAATTACAAAATTGTATTTAATTGTAATATTAGCAAAAATAATGTAACCAATTTATAATTATTATTAATGTAACCATTATTATCAAATTGCGTGCATACTTGCATATCAATATTTACACATTTCGTCATCGCGAATTCGGAATGTAATATTTTGCAAATGTGTAAATATAAAATATAAATATATAAATGTATATATATATATATATATATGAATATTATTAATCATTTTGCGATAAAATGCTCAAATGCAAACTCGACTGAAGTATCATTAATCTAAAGTACAGATACCAACAATAAAAATTGATAACAACTGTCACTGATAAAGTTTATCATTTTCCCTGCAATAGTTGCAGTGCAAAACTAAATACAATGATTATGTATTAGAGAAATATTCTGAACTAAATTATTTATGTTCAGAATTAGAATTCACATTATATCGATAGATATAAATAATTCGAAATGTTTATATTAATAAACTAAAATCTTGGCAAGGAATGAGGTTGAATGTTTTTTTCAAAATGTCTGCCAAGTTCGTTACATTCGATATTTACAGTAATTATTTGCATGTGTATAAAATATATTTATATGTGCAAGGAAAACAATCGAATAATATTAATAAAGTGTTGGAAAATTTGTAAAAAATTAAATAATCTGCAAAATTGACTAACAACTGAAAATACTTTGAAAGTTAGAAAATTGTATATCACCAACGTGCTAAATCATTCATGTTATGGATTTATTATAAATTTTGTAACTATATAACCATTGTATTAATATTAATCGTGTATGAGACAAATTTGTTTAAAATTACATTCTCTGCAACTTTTTCTAAGAACAAAAGCACTAGAGCCAACTCTAAAATTTAAATTGATTATATTATAACATACTTTCTTGCATACACGTGCAAAACTTTTATAAATTTCAAATAACTCTTAAATTATTCTATTAATTTAAATTATGTATTTGGGAAATTTGTTTGCAATTAAATAATAAACACTATTTTATTATTCACTTTAATCTAGAGCAATTCAGTATACTCTAACATTGCAAATGAAAACTTGTGATAGAACTTATTTAGCAAACGTTTCATTTTAGATAACTTTTAAACTGTTAGTGGAAATTAAATAGTTTATTTGGGTGATTTATACAAAATTAAATAATATACAATATTGTCTAACAAGAAAATACTCTACAACATCTGGGAAAACTTATAAACTTAATTTTTTTCATAACATACTCAATATATATATATATATATAATATTATATTTATATATATAACATTGTAAAAAAATAACATATAAATAAATTGTACTTACATGGTGCATATTTCCAAAAATCGATTGTTTCTATCATTGTATCATTTTCATTTATATTTAAATTTCCCAATTATTATTATCAATTTATAATTAACTAATGACAACATTTATATATCATTTATGTATATATAATTATTCATATATTTATGTACAATTTAAAATATATTCTTTTGTTTAACTTTAACTTGACACTTCTTTACACTGGTTTAAAAAACTTGTAATATTCTCTTAATTCCAAACTTTTAATTACACATGTATCAATTAATTATTTCGACACATTTTGGTTTAATTTTTATTACTTCTATAGTATTATTTATATTTACAATTTAAATTCTAATTCATAAATCGTTTTACAAAAAACCACGTGCTACCTTCGAGATGGTCACACGAGCACTGTCATATAAATCTGTACTGACTTGTGGGTCCGAAAGGGACGGAGCTATCGCGCTAGATAAGGTAGGAGAAGGAAAAATAACACGAGCTATAGGGATAGACAAGGATGCAGATATAGAAAATTCACATGTGGGTTCAGGGTTGGACAAAAACTTTTTAAAAATTAATAGATATTTAAAATGTGTGAATGATTAATAAGAAAATTATGGAAATATTAATTTTTGATGAAAATTGTATATATAATAACATAAATTATATATACTTGATTTCTTTATACAATTTTGTGTATCAGAATGTATTTATAAAATTATAAATACAATTTTTTTAATATAGGGTCTGCCAATAACTTTTTTTTAGGGGTACGACTTAAGCAACTCTACTGTGTACTCTGCACTCTTTACATTTCACTTTCAAATAAAAGAGTGAAAATATTTAGTGGTTTTTTAATAGAATTTTCAAACAAAAAGAAAATTGGCAAAATATTCAGTAGATTTTTTAAGGAATTTTTCAAAAAAAAGCTAGATCCTATACTTGTATATAAGCGTATGAATG